CTCTGTACTGTAGGGTGAGGGCAGTTCAGTTTTCACCATGGGCTGTGATGTTGGCCTGCTGGTGTTTATGTAGATGCCTTTATTCCCAGATTGTGTAGAGCCAGGCTTGTATATTGAGCAAGGCGGGGCGCCCACTGTCCCCTCTCCTACTCAGCTTCACACCGCAAGTCCTGGCCAGGGCAACCGGGCCGGGAAAAGACATAAAAGGCAGGCAGATTGGAAAGGAAGAAATGGAACTGCCCCTCTATACAGATAGTATAACTGTCAATGAAGAAAACCCAAGGAAACGACAATGAAGCTCATAATAAATGAGTTTAGCACAACTGCGGGACGTAAGAACAACAAACAAAACTCAGTGGCATTTTCTTTTTCTTTTTTTTTTTTTTTGAGACGGAGTCTCGCTCTGTCGCCCAGGCTGGAGTGCAGTGGCCGGATCTCAGCTCACTGCAAGCTCCGCCTCCCGGGTTTATGCCATTCTCCTGCCTGCCTCAGCCTCCCGAGCAGCTGGGACTACAGGCACACGCCACCTCGCCTGGCTAGTTTTTTGTAGTTTTAGTAGAGACGGGGTTTCACTGTGTTCGCCAGGATGGTCTCGATCTCCTGACTTCGTGATCCACCTGTCTCGGCCTCCCAAAGTGCTGGGATTACAGGCTTGAGCCACCGCGCCCGGCCCTCAGTGGCATTTTCTATATACTGGTAATGAACAACTGGAAACCAAAATCCTCCTAAACACCAAATCAAGCTCTATATTCCGTACCTGGGCAGGCCCACAGGCAATTCCCACTGTGTGTTTGGTGTGCAGTCCGGGCAATGCTGCAGGTTCTGGCTTGGTCACGTGCAAGGTGTCAAAGTGCTGGCACTGGTCGTTGCTCCCCGAGCTGTGGACCTCGCTGTCCTCAGTCAGAGCCAGGCAGTGGGTGGAGCCGGCAGCCACATCAATCACCTTCTTCCCTACAAGGAAAGAGGGATGCAGATGCAGCTTCAAGCCTAGGACTTCTGCTGCAAGAAAGATAGGTAATTCCACTCAGCCATTCAGGTCAGAAAGCTTTTAATATTAACTTCTTGGGGATAATCTGTTGCTTTAATATTAAGCACAATTCATTTGCTTTGGGTGTGTTATTAAAACTCCTGTATTTTGTTAGCTACAATTTGTTAGGACCCACAGTCTACAAAGATCATAATGCTAGGATATGAAAAGGACCTGTTCTTTTTTCTCTTCCTCATTCAGATTTTCATTCAGAGAGAAACAAGGTGCTTTTAATTAACTATTAGATCATATTCACCCATCCCAGATATAACAATACACAGCACACTCTTCACGGAGGAAGGCTTCCTAAGAGGAAATCTATTTTTCTCTCAGAGTTAGGTGATATCAATATTTAAAACATTGTTTCTATTTAAACACTTATTGTTTAAATATTCTATTTTTCGTTCCTGGTAAATCTAACACGGCCAACACAAAGGGTGTTTCTCAGAAATGTCAACATATAAAAGAACTCAGCTGAAAAACCACACTGCAGTTAGGGGAACAATTCTATCCTAGGATCCTACCATAAGTTAACATCAGCAACAACAAAAGGTGTTTCTCAACAGTAATTTAAATACTCTGAAAGTTAACGATTTCTATATCGAATGACCGTCGTAGCTTTCCTATACTAATGGAGGGGAATATAAACAAGAAGGCACATGAAATTCAAACACCATTCAATGACACAGAGGAAACTTATTACTCTGCCACTTATCTCAGAAGCTCAGAACATAATACATACCGTATGGGCACACAAAACTCTCAGTCATCAAGATACTAACATGCGTTAAAATAAAACTCATGGAGAAAGGAACTGGCAGGTCTCACTTAAAAGTCCCATTTCCAAACCCACTTGGTAAAGAAGCAAATACACAAAGAATGTGTGTAGTACCAGGACCCAACGAACTACAGCCCCCACACAAAGCGCAGCCCAAGGCCCGCTTCTGTGAAGACGCTAGTGTTGGAACACAGCCAGGTCCACCTGCTTCAAATACAATCTGGCCCTTTAAGAAAAAGGCCGCCCACCCCTGAGAGAGAGAACCCTGAAGAGTCCATCTGATGTACCTCTCGCTGCCTTTTCCCTTCTTCCCTACTTTCTTGTCAGCTTGCCTGGCCTTCCCCAGTTCTCGACTAGGATGAAGACTATCACCCAACCACTAGGCCAAGTGGTACAGAAAAGTCCAGTTTTACCTTAGAAAAATCCACCATCACAGTTTTGATGGCCCCCACCCCAACTTCCAGCAGCTTAACATCCCTAGTGAGAACACCATAGAAGAATTTCAGGGTCTTCTTGCGGAGGCCCCCATCCTCTCTGCCTGCACCCGCAGCCCACACTGAAGGCGCCGGCACTCATATCTACACATCTCAGCTTCCATCTGTTCCCTCCAACCACAATGCACGCGGGACACCTTTGCAACTGAGCAAGCAGGAATCCCCCACCAAGGACGAGTTCACATCAGAGCGTCCCAGGTGGGCCCAATCCCACCTCCCAATGTGGCCCCACAGCACAACGCACCCTCACGGTCTCAGTGTGTCTGCAGTACAAGTACAGGTGACCTCACCACGCAGAGGGAACCCTTCCTGAGTCCAGCCTGCTGGGTGATGAATGGGTGCCTGCCACGGAAAGTGGCGATGTTTGTAAAACTCAATGGGTTTAAATTAAAATTGGTAAGAAAAATTCCAAGTCATTTGTAATAGAGACACACCCACTTTCCAGATAGTATCAATCCCTGTACCAAGCCGGCTGTCAAAATTTCTAATGACAGTCCATTGACGCAATGCCAGGTCAAGAACACAAAACCTGCAAACTTTAAAACATTACTAAAGAAACTGTCCTGAAGGGTTTTAACAGTTTATGTTTGCACTCACCTCGCAAGCCTTCTAAGAGTTTTGGATAACGAACATGTCCCTCTGGTCCGTGTCCAAGTCTCTGGTTGTCACCTTTTCCCCATGAATAAACTTGGCCATCTTTCGTCAAAGGAATGGAAAACTGACTTCAACAGCAGACTCTGACCACATCCAAGTCTTGAAGCTTTTCAATCAGCTTTGGGGTTTTGCAGCCATCACTACCACCTCTGCCCAATTTCCCATAGTCACCATCTCTCCAAGACCACACTTGCCCTAATAAATACAAATGCATTTAAATAACAACTGTGCATTTTAATGAAAAATTTTAAATGACTGACAATAATCTAATGAAAAACGCACACTAATGTAGACCACCCATGTGCA